CTCAAGTCTGGTGAGCTTCTTTATGACCATTATTTTGAATTCTTTATCCAGTAGATTGCCTATTTCTGTTCCATTTAGTCCTTTTTCTGAGATTTTGTGTTGTTCTTTCATTTGGATCATATTCCTCTATTTCCTTGTTTTTGTTTGTCTCTCTGTGTTTGTTTCCATATGTGAGGTATGTCAGCTATGGCTCCTGGTCTTGAAAGCAGTGGTCTTAAGTAGAAAGTGTTCTGTGGGACACAGTAGTGCCAGTTCCCCCTGCTCACCAGAACCATGCACTCCAGGAATATTCCCTGTGTGGGTTTTGTGCAGCCTCCTGTTGTGACTGGACTGTAGCACTGCTGGCTGAGAGGCCTGGTTGGCCTAGTTGGCCTGCTGTGAGTGTCCTGGTAGGCGGGGTTAGCTCCTGCTAGAGCTGGCTGTCAGGCCCAGCTGTGACTGTTGCAGGCATGCTGAGGGGTGGAAGCCTGAGTGGCTGGGCTCCAAACCCTTCCCAGGACAGGAGTTGCTTTGGAGAGGTACTCTTCTCACTAGGGTTGCCCGCTGGGTGTGGTGAGGTGGTAGTTGTTTTGGGGGATGCTGGTTCTAACTGAGGCTGCCTACCAGGTGTGGTGAGTGGGAACTGCTTTGGAGGGCTACCTGCCAGAGCAGTTAGGTTGAATGTGGTAGGTCTGCAAGGGAACACAGGGCTGGGTGAGCACAGCTACCAAAGTAGATGGAGAGTTTCAAAACTGGTGCCTGCCTTCTTAGGACCAAGTAGGCTGAAGGAGTGTGAGAAAAATGGTACCTGCCAGCACTTCCATTCCTGGAGAAAGTTCCTATGAATCCCTGCCCCTGTGCACACATCCTAAAATTAGTCAGTAAATGAAATCCTTTACGTGTGGCCCAGGCACTTTTTAAACTTCTGCCTCTGTGCTTTATCTCCCAGTGATACAGACTCTTTGAAGAGTCTTGGTTTCCTATAGACTTCTCGCTCTCCCATAGTTAAGTCCTGCTGATTTCCAAAGCCAGATGTTATAGGGTCTTGTTTTCCTGTGCAGATCCCCAGAGTGGGAGGGTATTTTATGTGGGGCTTCATCCATTTGCTCCTCAGGGAGGACTTCTACACCTGTGATATCTCTACCGCTTGTGCATTGCCATGATGGGCTTTTGGTTCCTGACTGTGTATCTGCCCCTAATATCCTTTTTGACGTGGCTTTTTCTTTATATCTTTAGTTGTAGAATAGGTGTTATGCTAGTCTTGAGGTCATTCCCAGAGTGAGTTGCACTGTATATAGTTATAGCCTTGAGTGTTGTGGGAAGAGAGAGGCTTAGGATCTTTCTTCTCCATCTTCCCCTCCTTTCTAGTAAAACTTTCAGTAAACAGGTATATATATGTAAGGCCTAAGGCTTTCATTCTGTACCTTACTTTACAACCAATGATGACTGTGAGTTTTTTTTAAAAGAGATTTTATTTTATTTATTTGTTTATTTGTTTATTTTAGAGAGAGCAAGCAGGGGGAGGGGCAGAGGGAGAGTAAGAATCTCAAGCCGACTCTGTGTTGAGCACAGAGCCTGACTCGGGGCTCAATCTCATGACCCTGAGATCATGACCTGAGCCAAAATCAAGAGTTGGATGCTTTACCAACTGAACCACCCAGGTGCCCCGACTATGAGTTTATTTTGATTAATTCGGTAAATATTAACCCTTCTCAGTGTCTTGCCTGTTCTTTTCCCCTGTTGTTCAGGGTGTTAAGACCCCCTTCTGTTGTCTGTCATAGCACCCTTTGTATACTTTTATCATAGCATTTATTATGCTGTATATTGTAATTATTGGTATATGCTTATCTCCTTTCAGTAGAGTATAAATCTCTTGAGCATGGGTAGTCTCTCATCTCTAATGTTCCCAGTAGCTTGCCCAGTGCCTAGCATATAGTAGGTAATTACAGAATGAATAAGCTGAATTAAATGGAATGAATCGATGATTTGAGAATTAAGACAGTGATTCTTTTGAAATATTTATTTGAAAGACCATAGGGCCATTTATTTTATAAATGCCTACACGTTAAAACAGTGTATCTCATTATTTCTGTTGATGGACTAGTGTCTTTTTAAATTTCCAATCCATTGTGTATTAATGCTTTTGTAAAATACAGTAAAATTTTAATGCTAGGAAAATGACATAAAAGGAGACAAAATATAGGCACCAATTTTTTTATTAGATTCAACAGACAAAATTACTCTCAAGTTCTGTACTTAGCTTTTTGTGGATTGGCAACAAAGAGTCTGTGGATCTTTACTTGTCCATTGACCATATTTTGAGAGCTGTACAAAGCACTGGTAAATGCTTAACAAATATTGTCCATTTTAATTTTCATTACCCAGTAGGGTGTAGGTACTGTTATCGCCATTGTTAGGAAATTAGGCAAGTAAATTACCCAAGGACACATAGATGTCACACAAAACAGTTAGGATTCAAACCCAGGTAGTCCAGTCTGACTTCAGAGTCCATGTTCTAGTCTCCTTCTGAGTTTGCAAAGGTGAGATGAGGTAGCATTTTAGGCTGAGACTGTGTAGACTGAACACAGATGCAGGCAAAGAAAGTTACAAGTATAAATATAATTAATTTGTCTAAAAAAGAGAATGTTAAGGGTCATATAAAAGAGTTATGGAGGATGCATGATCATTTAGGCAAATTAATTTGCCTAAAAAGAGAATGTTAAGGGTCATATAAAAGCAGAGTTATGGAGGATACTGTTCTTTTATCCTGTTAGTGAGTCAGTATCTTGTTTACATGTTACCTTACTTATTAGTTCATATTAAAATTACTGATTTGTAAAAATAGTGATGATATTTCTTTGAAATACATGTCTTTTTGCTGTCACTCAGTTTCATATACTGAAATTTGTTCTATTTGTACTTTGTTTCTTCTTACCTCTCTTATTTGATAGCATAATCATCCAAATTATTATGATTACACTCATACACAAAAATAACATTTCTTTTTAACAGGTATCAGTATTTCAAGAACAAAATGTAAGGATCATATGTTAATGGTAGTAGAGGATTATGTTGCTATCCTGTTTTATGTCATTAAATTCTTGATATCATGAAATTGGCAACTTTTAGAATATGTTTCAACAGCAGTATTTTTTATACATTAAAAAACTTGTTTTCTTCTATAGAAATCTGGTCAAGAAGTACTGTCCCAAACGTTCCTCCAAAGATGAAGAACCAAGGTAAATTATATACCTGTTTATTATTGCATATTGAAATTTTACATTTGATCTTAGCCAAAAGGCCGAGAAGCGATTGCATGTTGAAATTTAAAAAAAAACTTGTATTTTTGTTATTTAGTAAAATAAATAGGCTGTTAGCTCTTAATAATGTTTTTTTTAAGTTTTAATTTAAAAAAATCATAGGTTTTTGAATAAGAAACTATTCTAATAAGAATGAATGTTTCAGTGGGCTCAGTTTTCTGTAATAGTTGGAAGTATGGGTTTCCAAGTAAAATGTGGACTGGGACTTGAGCGATTTAGTCTTCAAAAGAAAAGGGTATTTTCCCCTTTATTTTGTAATTGTTAGCTTGTTACATTCTTGCTTTTACTCTTACAGGTATTAAAACAGTTTGGCTGGTTAGTTTAAAGGGATATCTAAAAGGAATGAGGTTTTCAGAGTAACCTTGGAGCTCTGAATAAAAATTTAGGAATTGCTTATGAGCTTTTTGGTAGTCTTAAGCAGGCATATGTGGATGGCTCTAAAATACAGAAACAAAGAGACTAGCCTTAGAACAACTTTGTATATAATTGTTAGTTGTTAGGATTCTTAGGTTTAGTGTTAATGGAGTACTGAGTTACTTGCTTTCTACTGAAAGAGTGTTTGGGCAGTGTATTTAGAGTAGATCTATACATGTTAATACAGCAATTCTCTTTGTTTCTCTCCTTCCCTCCACATGCATTTTTTTACCCTTATTGCCCCTTTTTACCCCTCTTTGGTGCCAACCATAATGGCACTTTACTTCCATTCAGGATGTGGGCAGGCATATAAGCAGCTGTGTCCAGAGCTGATAGCAAAATTGTTCTATAGATCAGCCATCGAAATGCATTTGAGTGGTATGATTGGCAGGTTCTGTCCTCGAGAGCAAGCACATCATCTCTGCAACAGGTTCAGCTGCCAGTCCTAGGAATCCAAGCTCATTCCCCAGCTCAGGCCAGTCAGTTGGCTACTTAAGAGATTCCAGTATGCCAAAAGAGCCTGCAGGTAGTATTCTTACTATTTTTTGACCCATATACCCCTTTATTTATAAATTAAGACTACTTGAAGATATCCAAACATATACAACTTGAGTTAAATATGGTATTCTTTTCATACAAAGTTAATTTGGAGCTACCAGTGGAGAGTTAGGTTGAATATGTTAAAATTTGTCAAGTGTCAGGCTCAATCCATACCTCACAGAAAATATTTGTAAAGAAAAAATACATAAATTTCACCATTTTTTAATATGTTTTTTTCAGGTTTACCTCGTGTATAGCCTTTTTTAACATCCTTAACGAGTTAAATGACTATGCAGGACAGCGAGAAGTAGTAGCAGAAGAAATGGCGCACAGAGTTTATGGTGAATTAATGAGATATGCTCATGATCTGAAAACTGAAAGAAAAATGGTAATTATTGTTTTCATCCAGCTATATAGTATATGAAATATTTTCACATAATTACTTTGCTTTTTAAAGTAATGTTCAGTATAAACTGATTTTCTATTTTAATTTCTTTTTTTATTTTAAAAACTGAAATGAATTTTAATACAGAAAATGAAGACAGCATTTTGCAAATTTATCGCTCAAAGGGGTATCTATTTGAGGAAATCAGCATGTTACACTTTGAGAGATGAAATGTTACAGCTTGTACACCAAAATTAAAAAATGAAATTAAATTAAAAAATGGTTACCAAGGTAATGCAGGTCAGGGGATCAAAGGTGAAGGGTCACACGTTATTAAAAAGAAATCCAAAAGGACGGCTGCATCATGATCTCTCATTAGTGTTCCAACGGTGCCTCTCTTTGGGTAAACTTGAACATTTCGGCAGACATTCAAGCAGCTTTTTCGGTAAAAAGATTTTTACATGACTACTATTGCTGTTCCCATGATCATCTTCTGGAGGTGGCGTGGTGTTGAGAACACAGTAGGTGCTAGTCCCGCAGAATACACTTTGGGAAAGGCTCTTCCGTCTTGTTTTCGGCAGCCATTTCCGCTCCGCGCGCCACATCCTCCTCCTCCTCGCGACCGGGACCCCAAGCGTGCGCCTCGTACCGCCGCCCTATTTTAATTTCTTTTAGCTAAAATTATCTTAAGATACTCTTGCTAATTTGTGATCCTTTTGGATTTAAGACCAAGATTTTGGTAACCTACAGCCCATGGGCCAAATCTAGCTTACTGCCTGTTTTTCTTAGTTCCCATGAGCTAAGAATGGTTTGTATATTTTGGATAGTTGAAAAGAAAATCAAAAGACTATTTCATGGCATGTGAAAATTGTTTGAAATTCACATTTCAGTGACTGTAATTAAAGTTTTATTGAAACAGACCCACACTTACTTACTTATGTATTTCCTGTGGCTGCCTTTGTATTATATCAGCAAAGTTGAATATTTGTAACCGAGACCACATGGCTTGCAAAACTTAAGATATTTATATGTGACCCTTTATAGAAGACATTTGTCAACCCCTATTCAAGACAAATCATACATTTTTCTAGAGATTATATCTGTCTTAAAGGATATACTTAAAGTATTCAGATAATACTTATTAAATGCATTTTAGAGAGTTTTGCTTTACTAATAGTCTCTTCCTAAGTGTTGATAAAGTTACATAATTAGTACGTTGAAAAAATAAAGTGAAAAATAAAGGTTTTTTGGGATTTTTAGACTTTTAGTATTTAAATCTAATTTTTTGTTTGTTTTATTTGTTTTGTGGTTATGATCTTCAGCATCTTCAAGAGGGACGGAAAGCTCAACAGTACCTTGACATGTGCTGGAAACAGATGGATAACGTGAGTTACAGTGTTTTCATGCTTATAAAGTTTTGTAGACTAGTTTAGCTTCAAATTCTCCTATGCTTCACATCTTTTGAGTTTAATATTTCTCGATGTATTTATAAATATTTAACATTGGTGTAAAGAATATGAGATCATTTTGTCATTTTTCTTTTTTTTTTTTCCTGTATGGCTTTATACTTGTACCAACTCCGTAATCTTCAGATAACTCTAAAAGCTTAGGAGTATACTTTTTTATTTTTGCAATAGTTACTATAAAATATTGATAGAGGGTAGGGGTAATGAGAGTATTAATAGTGCCTGGGTGGCTCAGTTGGTTAGGCGTCTGCGTTTGGCTCGGGTCATGATCCCAGGGTCCTGGGACTGAGCCCCACATCGGGCTCCCTGCTCAGCAGGAAGTCTGCTTCTCCCTCTCCCACTCCCCCTGCTTGTGTTCCATCTCTTGCTGTCTCTCTCTCTGTCAAATAAATAAAATCTTTAAAAAAAAAAAAATAGTGATGTATCTCAGAAGACCATTTGACAGAAACTGAGGGGACCTAGATTCTAGTTCTGCCTTTTGTGATTTCTCTTGATTTCATCTTTAGCATATGAAAAATGAAGACAGTGGACTAGATTATATGAAATGTTTCTTCCAGTTCAGTGATTCTGTAATAATGTAAATATTCCTAGTACTGGGCTCCTGGTCATAGACCATTCAAATGGTAGGAAAGAAAATACTTGATAGTATTTATAGGTAAAATTATAAAAGTATAATAATTATTTACTATAAAAACTTTCCAAGGGTAGGGGCGCCTGGGTGACTCAGTTGGTTGAGTGGCTGACTCTTAATTTCAGCTCAAGTTGTGATCCTCAGGGTCCTAGGATCGAGCTGAGCAGGGAGCCTGCTTGAGAATTTCTCTCCCTCTCCCTATGCTCCTCCCCCGCTCTCTCTCTCTCAAATAAAAAAATCTTTAAAAAAATCCCAGACTTCAAGGGTGCTTGCTAATGTGCTTTCTTTTAAATATTCTGGCATACAGTCATTTGAAAAACAAGATGTCTACATAGAACATTGTCTGCTTTCCTTAAAATTCTCTACCAGATGTTCTGTAGTATAAGATTAATATTCCTTCTGGGGGCACCTGGGTGGCTCAGTTGGTTGAGTGTCTGACTCTTGGTTTCAGCTCAGGTGCGTTGGGCTCCCCACTGAGTGCAGAGTTTGCTTCAGATTCTTTCTCCCTCTCCCTCCCCCTCTGCCCTTCCCTACTCTCACAGGCTCGCTCTCTCTAATACATAAATAAAATCTTAAAAAAATATATTCTTTTTGAACTCTCAGGTTAGTAAGCAGCTTATTCTTTACTCTTTTACTTGCATATTTTTATTATGGACACTGTATTCGAAAGGATTTTTTTCCATGTCAATTTAGTTTGTTAAATTAGTTTGGGAAACGGACTTTAAAGTTTAAGATTAGAAAAAAACTCATATACGTGTTTTTGGCCTTTTTTTCTTTTTTTAAAAATCACATCAGAGCTTCAAATCACATTCTAAGAGTAAAGTCCTGCTATATAAATGTCACTGATATAAGATTCTAGGCACTAGTGCTGATTGAGAATTCTTATATTAATAGTCCCTTTCATTTTTGTTTTCATTTTCATTCTAATTGGTTTTAACAGGACTTTTAGGAGTGTTTACATTTATTAAATTTTAAATTACCTTAACTAGCATTCTTAGTATCTGTCACCTAATGAGTGTGTATATATGTGTGTTTTCATATACACATAATAATAGACTCCTACACTTGTGAGTCACTGGTCCCTTTAAAAACTTGTGTTGGCACAAATTATTCCTGTTAATATGTGCTGACTCGCCTTTAGACAGTTGGCAGTTACTAAGCAAAAGTTAGAGGGGTCATAAGAAAGAAGCATTGAAAAAAAATGTGGGAGTGATTTCTTTAAGTCTTTAACAATACCTTTAAAGATGAGTTCAGCTTAACTCATGTTTATTGAAAGCCTCTTTGACATGTACTGAGTCCTGGTACAGAAGTGAACAGTGGGGAAAAAAAAAAGTGAATAGTGACATAGTCCTTGTTTTTGTGGAGCCTGCAGTCTAGTGAGGGAGACAGACAAATAAAATTTTTGTGGAATATGTAGAAATATGTGCAGGATCCCATTTCTTAGTTCTCTATCTCCTGTTTAATCAAGAAAATGAAATTGCAAAATTCCTAACATTTTTGAAATAATTGAGAGGAGATTTAAAGAAGTGGGAGAGGCAGGCTGAATTAGTGACAGTATTGAAAATTGAGGAAAATAGTTTAAAAAGACAGTTATTAACCCCAGGATAATGAAAATAGGCCACACTGGCATTTAAGATGAGGGCAGAAGAGAGTAGCCTACAAAGAATATTTTGAAGGAATAGTGAGAGATTACCAAGATTAAAGTATCAAAGATGCTAGGTCTGTCAGGCGGCTCAGGTAACAGAGCGTGCAGATTTATAAGAACAGAGCTCAGAAATGGAGCAGTTTCAGAGTTGGTCAGTAGCTCAGTGATGTCACTAAAGCTGCTTCTCCTTTCTCTGTCCACTTTTTATGTCTTGACCATGTTGGCTTTTTTCCTCAGGCTTGTCCCCTTATGGTCAACAGTCAATTTAAGCTGCCAAGCACCACATCCTCATTCAGCTGCATGCGGAAGCAGGAAAAAGAGGGCATCTCTCTTCTAACTGTTCCTTTTTATCAGGGAGGGAAAACTTTCAGAAAATCCCCAGCAGACTTCCTAATGGGTGCCTTTGACAGGATTAGATTACTTGACCATGCTCCCGCTGTGGGGAGGCTGGTAAAGCAAGTATCAGCTATTTTCAGCCTTTACGCTGGGAGGTGGGCTCTTCTAAGAAGGGGTGGGGGAGGTATGTCTGGTTCTAGCTATATGACAGTTTGAGCTAATTCAGAAACCTCTTGGGTACAAATACTTAGATATAATAGCTAAACTGTTTTTTATTGTATTTTTTAAGTTCTTAGAGCTGAGAGAAAGGGAGATCTGTAACTGCTAGAAATTAAGGGTAAACTAGAAGCCAGAGCAATAGGTATATGATACAGTGGCATTTGAAGAATGAAGGCAGAGCTATTGGAGTATGGTGGTTTATTGGACCTTGCTAAGGGCTTAAGTTTTAATATACAGGGACAGAGATGATGTTTTAGCTCTATATGTTGTAGAGAGTTGGAACTGATACCCCTGTATAAAGTTTTGAACCTTCAAAGGACTAACCCTCTAGTAAAAGATGGACTATACGAACTCTGCCCACTGGTCAAAAAAGGCAGCAAAGAAACTTGTCTCTATCTGAAGGTCAAAGGAGGAGAGGTATCTTGTGAAAAATTTAAACCTTGACCCGGTAGTTAAGAGGTTTGGAACCCAAATTTGTCCCATTTATAATTTTGTAATCCCCAAGGTAAGAAATTGACATCTAACTTGTTCTAATAAGGGGGTTAGGTACATAGAAAATGTTGACATCCTCTGCTTTCTTCTGAGCGATTCTCAGAATACAGGTAGCAAGGGTTTTTTTTTTCCAGGTAAGAAATTGAGGATTCTCTTCTGGGGAATCTAACTAGCTTGAGAGAAAAGACTTACAGGTAACAATAGTAGGGTTTCTCCAAGGAAACTACCTGGCCATATTACCCTAGAGGAAGAGACAATAATCCTCAAGCACCACGTGTGGAACTTTCAGTTGGCTTTTAAAATAAGAACAGATAGGCAAGGATCCTCAGACATTTAGAGAAAACAACTAATGTAAATACTAAAGACCAAAACTAATATGGGGGTGGGGGGGTAGCAGCTTTGAAGAAACAGTGACTGTGAAAGGAAATAGAAAATAGCAAAAACAAGCAAAACATATGCAACACTATTAATATTGAAAGGGAATAGAGAAGATACTACATCTGTGAAATAGGAATAAGATGCTGTCAAAGGAACACACAAAGAACTTTAGGATAGCAGAAATTAAAAACTCACTTAGAAAAAATAAAATTGAAGAAATCTCTAAAAGTAGAGCAGAATGATAGAAGTTGAAAATACAAGAAAAGTAGGGGGTTCATCCTGTGGGTTCATTTTCAAAATAATAAGCATTCTAAAAAAGAGAAAACATTGAAAATGGACAGACAAAAATAATTCAAGAAAATTTTCCCAGAACAGAAAGACATGAGTTTCCAGATGGAAAGGATTTTCTAGGTGCTCAGCACAGTGGACTCACAGCAAGACATACCTCCATGAAATTTCAGAACAGTTAGGAGAGAGAGAAGA